AGATGGGAGCTCACTCCCTCACGCGGCTGCTGAACTATCGACCTTCCGGTCTGCAGTTCATTATCTTAGCCACTGCAGCCCACATAGTTCTACCTGGGAGTTAAGTGAACTAACTGGAGATGCTGGAGATTGAACCTGTGACTTTCTGTGTGCAAAGCAGATGCTCTACCGCTGAGCCCCTCCCGACCTGCCTGATCCTAGACTGATATTCTAGCTGCTATAACTCTTTGGCCCTTCCAAAATCTAACACAAGGGCCTCTGTTTGGTTGTCTTCCACAGAAACAATCTGACGTTGACATAACTACAGAAGGAGGCTCAAAGGCAACTTAAACTCATGTGGAAAAATGCCATCAGCGTAAACTGGAAAATCCCCAGGTTAAACATCATTGTGTCTACAAAGTCGTTCGATAGCCTTAGGCGAGAGCTATCCTCGGCCACAATACACAAATGACACAAACCTTAATGGAGTTTGTTGGGAATGTTACCAAAGATAACTTACGCAAAGAGCACCCTACGGTGCTACATGGAAGACGAGTCCAACCGACTTTTGAAAGTTTTAATAGCAAGTGGGAAAGATCTGCTTTTGGAAGCCCTTCTGGGAAGGGGGGGGGGGGAGAGACATGCTGACATTCTTCATGGAGGACCCTACTTCGATAAAAGTATTTGATAAAGTGTGCATGTACACGAAAGCTCATACCTCGAATAAACCTTTGCTAAACCAACTCTAAATTGGTTGTTCATGGAGGATGCTCGCTTTGCTTCCTCGCCTATTTCGAAACTTTTGTTTGTTTCTTTCCTGACAGATTTTGTGCAGACAACTGGGGGCCAGACAGGAGACAGGTGAATCACTCAAAAATGCTCCCCCCGTTAAGTCCTGCTAGACCCAAAACCACGCACCAAACCCCACTACTTTTACAAAAGGAATGGCAAGCATAAAAACCACTGCAACAGAAAAGTTCTAATTTCAGAGGGGTAACAGAGGGGGCTGCGGTGGTTAAGACGCTGAACTGCAGACCGGAAGGTCGGTAGTTCAGCAGTTCGAGACCCGAGTGCCACATGACGGAGTGAGCTCCCATCTCTGGCCCCAGCTCCTACCAGCCTAGCAGTTCGAAAGCAAGAAACTGCAAGTGGATAAATAGGTACCGCTTCGGTGGGAAGGTAACAGTGTTCCGTGCGCCTTGGCATCTAGTCATGCCGGCCACATGACCACAGAGAAGTCTTCGGACAGTGCTGGCTCTTTGGCTTGGAAACGGAGATGAGCACCCCAACCCTAGAGTCGGATTCGACTGGCTTTCGAGCAAGGGAAACTTTTACCTTTAACAGCAAAAAGAAATAGGAATCTCACGGCACTTTTTAAAGCATTTATGGCCAATGTGGGCTTTTGTCCAGGAAAATTTATGCTGGAATATAATCCCGTTAGCCTTTTAAAGTGCCACAAAAGTGGCCGCTCTAAACAACTGATGAACCAGTTTCGAATCCCCACCCTCCCACAGACTAGTCTAGGGCTACCATATTTCGAAGAGAAAAAAGAGGACATATTTCCCGACTGACTACTTCAAATAAGTGATCGCTCCTTTGGTGTGTCACTTTTGGGTCTATGATTTTCCCACATGCCAATTAGAAGCAAACTGAAGAAGAAAAACAAGAGATTGGATTTATACCCCGCCCTTCACTCGGGAGTCTCAGAGTGGCTTACAATCTCCTTTCCCTCCACAACAGACACCCTGTGAGGTAGGTGGGGTTGAGAGAGAGCACTCTTAAGGACTGCTCTTGAAAGAACAGCTCTGAGAGAACTCGTAATTGACCCAAGGTCACACCAGCAGCTGCATGTGGAAGAGTGGGGAATCAAACCCCCAGATTAGAGTCTGAGCTCCTAACCACTACACCAGCTCTCCTTGGCTAGTAATACTCAAACTTTTGGGTTTCAAACCAATCCCAGCTTTGGAGCCTGCCGGCTGCTCACCTGCCAACATTTTTACAGTATAAATATAGCCCCCAAACCCCAGACCTCTGAAGAAGCAGCAGTTTTCCCGAACTTTCTTGCTACTGCCCCTGTGTAGCGTGAACACAGGAACCTCAGAGATCTGAAACTGGCCTCAGTCTCTCCCCTGCGCCTTCCTTCTTTGCTCTCCTTCTACCACAGATCCTCCGGACCAGGGGTGGCCAAACTGTGGTTCGGGAGTGGCATGCTATGTATATGCACACATATCATGCAGCTCCTGGAAGGGCGGCTGGGGAAGCTAAGTATCATTAGCAAGCAAATCTCATTGGACAAATAAATATCATTATCAATATCTGCCTTTACCGCTTTGGTTGTTATCTTTGGCAGTCTCGTTTAGTGTGAATAAAAAGCAAATCTGCATAGTTCCCAGTAAAAACGTGGGATATCTGTTCATGTCTTGCGGCTCTCAAACATCTGACTTTTATTCTGTGTGGCTCTTACGTCAAGCAAGTTCGTCCACCCCCTGCTCCAGACGGTCTCTCCACACTGGACAGACTTGTATGTTTTCATTTGGCCCCATGAACTGTGAGCTTTTACTGATTAGGTGTTAGGTTGCCTAGGGTAAAGGTTGGTTTTGTGTGTGGCCCTATGTTTGTGTGTGTGAGAGCGAGTGACACACACACGGGGGGGGGGGGGGGGAGAGCACGCGCTTGTGGCTGTCTGAGTATCTCTTACTTTTCTGGTTTTTCCGAAGTAAAGATTTCGACTTTGATTGTATTTTCCCTGTCTGGGAATGTCCTCGTTGCAACAGTGAAGTGCTACTACCAAATTCCAGACCTTGGTATACACAGGCAGTGGGACCTAATTTAATTGTACCTGGATACGCGTGCATGTGCTCTTAACATACAAAGGGGACATTCCAAGTGTTGGGAGTCATACATGCACCCATTTGGGTAACACATGTAAACACATGTTCATCTCGCCTGTACCCCTGGTTGTCAGAAAGAGGCAATACGTGTTCACCTTGCAAGAGAAACTGGGCACCAGCACCCGGATATATCTGCCTGCAATCACACATTTAGCTGTACATGCACCGAATGTTGGCTTTTTGCTGCCAATTTGGAAACGACTTACGGCCACCCTGTGGGGTTTTCAAAACAAAGAGACAATCAGCGGGGGTTTGCCACTGGCTGGCTCTGCATACAGTCCTGGTATCGCTCTGTGGTCTCCCATCCAAATACTAAGAAGGGCTGACTCTGCTTCGCTTCCGAGACCTGACCTGATGAGATTGGGTTAGCCTGGAATATCCAGGTCACAGCCAAGGTTCCCTCTAAGCTGTGGAGTCTTGTGAGCAAAATTTCTACTTTGTGAGCTGCTGGCATTAAAGTTGTGAGCAAATGATTTGGCTACTGCATAAATTAGCTTGCTCTGGACTCATCCTCCCTGAGCTAAGACAAAAATCTGTGAGCTGGAGGCTAAAATTCTGTGCGCTAGCTCACACTAACTCAGCTTAGAGGGGACACTGGTCACAGCCACATAGGGAGTCCAACATGAGAATACCTCAACACACTTACAAAGAAAAACCAGGCGCACAGGGTGCCTTCCCTGGTTAGTATTTGGTATGGGAGACCACAGCTGCCGCCCAGAGCCACGCAGCGGCAAACCACCTCTGCTCATCTCACCTTAAAAACCATTCAGGGTAAGCGGACTACAAACTGACTGCCACTTTCCACCACCACTGCGCTGTAGGTGGCCAGTGGCACCCATTCACTGTCACTTGTGAACAGGACTTCTGTCTTCCCTTGCGCCCTGATAAAGGAGGCTCTCTGCCGCCCAGCCCAGTGGCATTCGTGTGGCAAGCTAAAGGTCCCACCTGCCTGAGCTCAAGGTGGAGGAGTCCAAAGCCATCTACGGGGACTCTTCTTACTGGGCTGCCGAGGGGGAAAAAACTAAATGCAGAGGGAGAGCACGTGGGGAGCATGTTTCCTGTCTGGGGTGTCTCGCCTCGCATTTCCTGCCCTCCGAGCATGCAAAGGCAAGGGCCGAAAAGGAAGAAGTTCACTTCCAGTTCCTCTCCCACCACACCCCACACACCCCCTTTGCCTTCTGACACTGGAGCCACGCGACCGATCGAAGCTGAAATCAAACCAAGGACCCAACGGCCTTTCACCTAAATCCCCACCTCGAGTGGGGGGAGTCAGGAAGCCAAGCCTGCCCCGGGTTTCTCTGGCTCAAGTCAATCTGCTGGGCGTAGGGGGGGGGGGAGAGTAGGCCCCCTCCTCCCCCCCCTTTGTCCTTTTCTGTTTGAATTTGCGAGAAAGGGGGAAAAACAACTGGAGGAGAAAGATAAGGCGAGGGAGGGGGAGGGAAGAAAAGGCAGCGCCCCAGATAGGCGCCTCTGGGCTGGCGGGTGGAAACTCTGCACCCGGGTGTGTGTGTGTGTGTGTGTAAGAGTGTGTCGCCGTCGTCCCCCCTTTCAAAGTTGCTCGATCTTAAAGACTCAGGAAATGGGGGGGGGTTGAAGGGGGGGCACAAAGTTAGGTCCTTAAACACACACACATCTTGGAGGCAAGTCCAGAAAGGGAACTGCTCTCCCACCCCCAACAAAACACCAAGACACCCCCCCACACCCGGAAAGGGGCTGCAGGGTAGAGACAAGGGTCGTCTCTCCTCTCTCCCCGCACGCCCCCTCCCCCTTCCGAGTCCGCACTGTGCGCTGTGTCGCGGCAACCGGACCCCCCCCCCACCACCACCACAGCCCACTCTCCTTCCAAGTCCGGTTTTGTTCCGTTTCCCCCCGAACCGAACTCCGGAGACCTCCGGCTTCTTCTTCCAGCCCACCTCCAACACACACAGACGCCACGCGAATCTCCTGGCTCCACTGGCCGCCGGCGGTCCCGATCCGCCCCCTACGGTCACCCCCGCCTTGCCCTGGAGACGCGCCGCGCTCCGGACGGCGAAGGCGACCCGCTCCGGCGCTCGCTCCGGCCGAAAGGTGGCCCCTTCCAGCCCCGGCAGGCGGAGATCCCCAGCGCGCCCCGCTGCCCGCCTGGCTCACCGCGTCCGGAGAGGCTCCCGCGGCTTGCCTGCCGCTCGCATCCCCGCTCCGCGCCTCCTCGCCGGCTCCTTTGTCCTGCCGAAGCGCCGCCTGGAGCCCCCGGGGCGGCCGCTGCAACAATAGCGCTTTCCCCCCTCGCCGGCCGCTTGGTCGGTCGCTCAGTCGGTCGGTCTCCCAGGCTGGCTGGCTGGCTGGCTGCTCGTCCGCCGGCGACGCCGGCTGCCTTTCCTGCCCGAGGTCCTAATATAGTGGCTTCCCTCCCCGGCAAAGCCACGTGGATGGCGAGGGGGGGGGAGCGATGGAGAGATAGAGAGCCAGCGAGCAGGCGAGAGCGCAAAAGCGCACCCACGAGGGGCGCAGGGTGGGTGGGACGACAGCGCGGACGTGTGGATGCTCGGTGGGTTGCGGGAAGGGGGGGGGGGCTTGGAGCGCGGCTGAGCGCACGCCCGGGTCGAGAGGGTTGCCAGCCTCCAGGCGGCGGCGGGGGATCTCCCGGAATCGCAACTGGTCTCCAGCAGGGTATGGAGATAGCTGGAGCTCGGCTGATCTCACGCCCGGTTTGGGAGCAGGGTCGCCCAACCTCCAAGTGAGGGTTGCCAGTCTCCAGGCGGCGGCTGGGGATCTTCCAGAATCACAACTGGTTTCCAGCAGGGTATGGCTAGAACTCGGCCGATCTCAGGTCCGGTTTGGGAGCAGGGTCGCCCAACCTCCAAGTGAGGGTTGCCAGTCTCCAGGCGGCGGCTGGGGATCTCCCAGAATCACAACTGGTTTCCAGCAGGGTATGGCTAGAACTCGGCCGATCTCAGGTCCGGTTTGGGAGCAGGGTCGCCCAACCTCCAAGTGAGGGTTGCCAGTCTCCAGGCGGCGGCTGGGGATCTCCCAGAATCACAACTGGTTTCCACCAGGGTATGGCTAGAACTCGGCCGATCTCAGGTCCGGTTTGGGAGCAGGGTCGCCCAACCTCCAAGTGAGGGTTGCCAGTCTCCAGGCGGCGGCTGGAGATCTCCCAGAATCACAACTGGTTTCCAGCAGGGTATGGCTAGAACTCGGCCGATCTCAGGTCCGGTTTGGGAGCAGGGTCGCCCAACCTCCAAGTGAGGGTTGCCAGTCTCCAATAGGGCATATATCGACAAGTCTACCGAAATATACCCTTGTAATGGCTACTTATATCGCTAAAGCAAAAGTATAATATGAAAACATTCCAAAAAACATATACACAAAACATTTTTGTAATTTGATGGTTTCAATTATACTGTTTTGCTTTAGTGATTTAAGTAGCCAGGACAAGGACATCGTTTGGTATAGTCTCCAGGCGGTGGCTGGAGATCTCCTGGAATCACAACTGGTCTCCGTGTTCTAGACGTCACTTTCCCTGGAGACAACGGCTGCTTTAGAAGGTGGATTCTATGGCATTATTTAGGGTTGCCAGGTCCCCCCCCCTCACTGGCAGGGCATAGGGGGGTAGGTTTGCCAGATCCAGGTTAGGAAGCTCCTGGAGATTTGAGGATGGACCCTGGGGAGGACAGGGACTCTGGTGGGATACAATGCCATAGAGTCCAGCCTTTAAACCATCCATTTTCTCCGGAGGGACTGCTCTGTGTGGTCTGGAGATGAGCTGCAATTCCAGGGGAGCCCCCGGTCCCACCTGGAGGCTGGCATCCCAACACTTATTGAGGTCCCTCCCTGTCTCCAAGGCCCAAACCCTTCCCTCCCCGGACTCCGCAATGGATGTGAGGTCAATATTAGGGCAAAGCTCCCAGTGGCGGCGAAGGACTCCCCTCTCGCTACCGAACCAAATCCCGTCTTCTTACTCCGTCTTTTTACCCCCTTCCTTAAGTCGTGCGCAGGAGGGCCGAAGGATCGAACCTGCGCCTCGTTGCACAGTGTCTTCTAGCAATCTTTTGCAGGGGACTTTTCCTATTGGAGACAAGGCGATCCGGTCCCGTTGCGCAACAGCCGTAGAAAGTTGGAAGCGAGAAGGTGCCTTGGAGAAGCCCCACCTCCACCGCCCCCTCAGGCATACACACGTGTTAGTAGGAGAAAAAGCTGCCTGCTTTTCTCAACCCACAAGGACGCGGAATCTGCCCAGGCGGCCGCAGAGTTGAAACTGACCACCCCGCAGAAGCCTCCTGTCAATTTCACTCTAGGCAAATACAGAAGATGGTGCAGACCGATTCGCATTTTCCTGGGTGTAAACTTGCCGGGGTGTGTGTGTGTCCAAGCTTATTGGTCAAAGCTCATCACCAGCTTGGACTGGTGACAGCTAAGACCCGGGGAGATGTGGCTGGTTTTTAAAGGTACTGCTAGACTCAGATTTCTGTTTTATGGCGGCAGAAGGACTTGGGGGGGGGGGGCTGACCCACTAGAAGACCCACCAGAGCTCTCCCTTTTGGATTTCCTCAGAGAGCAGGCTGACCGGCTCAGGACAATTAAGTTTGCATTTATTTCTGTGTATTTATTTATATGGCCCTCAAGTGGCAGCCAAGGTATGGCGACCCCTGGTGGGGTTTTCAAGGCAAGAAACAAACAGAAGTGGTTTGCCATTGCCTGCCTCTACATAGCCTACACTGGAAGCTGCCTTTTACTGAATCAGACCTTTGGTCCATCTAAGTCAGTCTTGTCTACTCAGACTGGCTCTGGCAGCAGTTCTCTGGGTGTATAAGAACATAAGAGAAGCCAATGTTGGATCATTGTCCAACACAGTGGTCAAAAATACCAGGTGCCATCACGAGGTCCAGTAGTGGGGCCAGGACACTAGAAGCCCCCCACACACTGTTGCTCCCCTGAAGCACCAAAAATACAGAGCATCACCTGCCCCAGACTGAGAGTTCCTATCTATACCTTGTGGCTAACAGCCACTGATGGACCTCTGCTCCATATGTTTATCCCATTCCCTCTTGAAGCCGTCCATGCTTGTAGCCGCCGCCACCTCCAGTGACAGTGAATTCCATGTGTTAATCACTCTTTGGGTGAAGAAGGACTTCCTTTTATCTGTTCTAACCCAGCTGCTCAGCAATTTCATGGAGTGCCCACGAGTTCTTGTATTATAAGAAAGGGAGAAAAGCACTTCTTTCTCAACCTGCTCAGTCCCATGCATAATCTTGTAAACCTGGATCATGTCACCCCTCGGCCGTCATTTCTCCAAGCTAAAGAGCCCCAAGCGCTTTAACCTTTCTTCATAGGGAAAGTGTTCCAACCCTTTTATCATTCTAGTTGCCTTTTTCTGCACTTTTCCCAATGCTATAATATCCTTTTTGAGGTGTGGTGACCAGAACTGTACCAGTATTCCAAATGAAGCCGCACCATCGATTTATACAGGGGCATTATGATACTGGCTGATTTGTTCTCAGCTCCCTTCCTAATAATCCCCAGCATAGCGTTGGCCTTTTTTATTGCAGTCGCACACTGTCTCAACATTTTCATTGAGTTATCTGCTACGACTCCAAGATCTCTCTCTTGGTCAGTCCCCGCCAGTTCAGACCCCATCAGTGTGTATTTATAGGTAGGATTTTTGGCTCCAATGTGCATCACTTTGCACTTGGCCACATTGAACCCAATTTGTCACGTTGACGCCCATTTGCCCATCCTTGACAGATTCCTTTGGAGTGCCTCACAATCCTCCCTGGTTCTCACCACCCTGAACAATTTCATGTCATCCGCAAATTGAGTCACTTCACTGCTTACTCCCAACTCCAAATCATTAATGAACAAGTTAAAAAGCATCGGACCCGGTACTGATCCCTGCAGTACCCTACTGCTTACCACCCTCCACTGAGAAAATTTCCCGTTTATACTCATTCTCTGTTTCCTATTAAGTAGCCAGTTTTTGATCCACAAGATGACTTGTCCTTTTATCCCGTGATTATTGAGCTTATTTGGGAGCCTTTGATGGGGAACTTTATCAAAAGCTTTTTGGAAGTCAAGGTAAACAACATCTATTGGGTCCCCCTTGTCCACATGTTTGTTCACTCCCTCAAAAAACACTAACAGGTTAGTGAGACCAGATCTTCCCTTACAGAACCCATGCTGAGTCTGCTTCACAGGTTTCAGGCTGAGGTCTTTCACATCTCCTACTGCCTGGTCCTTTTAAGCTGGAGATGCTGGGGATTGAACCTGGGACCTTCTGCATCTGGAGCAAATGCTCTACCACTTCCTTGGTGGCCTCCCATCTAAGTATTATTGAGCGCCAGCCCTGCTTAGCTTCCAAGATCTGATGAGATTGGGCTATCCTGAGCTATCTGGGTCAGAATGGAAATGCCCATTGGAAAAAGAATGGTGGATTGGGAAGCATGTGTGTGTGTGTGTGTGTGAGGAGACAAGAGGATTACTCAAGTGTATTAGTAGTGAAAGAGAAGTAGATAGCGAGGAGAGCAGGAGAGACAGTATCTGTGCCTGAATTCTAGAGCGTCAGCTCAGCATAGGCGTAATCTTCGTGGGGTCGAGGGGTCTTTAGCACCCGCCGAAATTTTCAGGAAGGTGCTCAGCCTCCCCCGGGAGCCACCCTTGCTCCTAGCAAAGCAATGCCTCTGGCCCAGCCCCAGCCCCCCCCCCGGGAGATTTTGGGGTGGAGCCTGAGGGGTAGGGGAGGGACTTCAATGGGCTATTATGCCATAGAGTCCACCTTGCAAAGCGGCCATTCCCCCCCCCCCGGGCAATGGATCTCTATCACGTGGAGATGCATGATGGAAATCCATCATGTATGGACTGGTAACTTCCATCTCAAGATATCTGAAGCTTATACACGAAAGCTTATACCTTGAATAAAACTTAGTTGGTCTTAAAAGGGTAGCTGCTGGACTCGAATTCTGTTCCGGAGATCAGTTGTCATCCCAGGAAATCTCCAGCTGCAACCTGGAGGTTGGCAACCCTAATGAGAGCACAGAGAGAGAGCGCTTATCAGTGAGCGGTGTGTAAAGGGAGTTGTCCCTTCTCCCAGCAGGAAGCTGAGGGTGTACAAGAGGGGTGGGACAAGATTAGAGACTTCAGGAGGTGACGGCGTTTTGAATGGGAGTCTGAAAAAGAGAACATGTCAAAGAGCACCGGGGGCGAGTTCTGTTTTACACACTTTCCCCCAGTACTTCTGATTTGGTAGCATTGTGTTCTCTTGAAAGGATGTTAAGATGGCATATGTTTTGGATATTACTCTATTACTATTTGCAGCCAAAACCACATTAGCAGCCACATGGAA